ACGGAATACATATTGGTCGTATTGAATCTGTACAAAAAAACTTCCTTCTTTTTGCTTTGCGGCGCCTAAACTGGGATGCAAATCTTATCTTACCTTCTTATTCTAGTAGACTTCTTTTGATTAATTTACCATCCCTAGCCAACCGTAGAACGATGCTTGGTACTATCTTTATTTATAACCTTATACATGGTGATATTGACTGCCCCGACTTGTTAAGTCGGCTAAACTTTTCTGTGCCAAGTAGATTAACTAGAAATTATATTCCCCTAATTTTAAATCATTGTAGATCTAACTATGCCTTGCATGAGCCTTTCAGAGTATTATGTTCTGACTATAATAGACTTTTTCCTGTAATATCAAATCTTGACTCTCTGCCGCTCCTAAAACGATTAATACTTGCTTCATTGGCACAAGATTGATCTAACTATTACTTTTTTCCCCGGACTTTTACCTTTATTTTCCTATCTCGCGTCTATCCTATCGCGAATCGTGCCGTACGATACACGGCTGCGCCCTCGGTCGGTTGGGCGGGTAAGTGGTCCGTGGGACTCCGCGCAAAAAAAAAAAAAAATACAAAAAAAAAGAATCCGATACTTCTTAGTAACGACCATCCAATCACTTCGTTGCTGATCTTTTTTTACCATAAAGAAAATTGTCATATTTTTACTGAAACGGTCATTTCCAATCTTAGAATGAAATATTGGATAATTAGATGTAGAAATACGGAGAAGAAAATAATTCGTGAGTGTCAATTTTGTAAGAATAGACGTGCTAAGCTACAGACAGCTCTAATTGGACAGCTTCCTAAATGCAGAATTGAACCAATAGAAAGAGCTTTCCTTTAAGTTGGAATAGATTTCTTCGGTCCCATCGAGGTATTGGTAAATAGGAGTCATGTAAAAAGGTATGGTGTAATTTTTACTTGTTTGACCACTCGTGCAGTTCATTTAGAAATAGCAGAGGACTTGTCTTGTAATGCATTTATGCATGAGTTTCGTCAGTTTGGTTGCCGTCGTGGCTTTCCAATAGAACTATACTCAGACAATGGGACCAATTTTAAACGAGCAAGTAAGGATCTTAAGATAATAATTGACAATTGGTCAAATGACGAAATGACACAGTTCTTGGCACAAAAAAATTGTTACGGATATAAGCCGTAATATCCAGTGATGAGAGGTCTGGGGCGAGCCGTGAAACAAATACATGTTTTAGCTGGGGCACCTGAACACAAGTAACCGTTTTTGGTACAACACATGCAACCCTTTTTGGTACTACAGAATTTGTATCTGTACTACCAGTATCGGCCGGTAATCCAGACGTTAAGTCTACAAGAGGTGTTGGGGCCACTACTTTATTTTGATCGGACAGAGCGGAAGTACCTAGCGGAGCCACATCGATTCCAGCAACTTCGGATACCGAATCACTTTTTGCCCCCGATCTTAGTACCATTTGAGTGGCGCCTAAGATTGGCAGCTGAGCTGGAGTCGAATCGCGGGCAGCAGGTTGCACAGCACCTGCCATAGAATGCCCACCGACCGCGACTTTTTTGCGCTTTGGGGAATCGGGCTCAGCTAGCATGCGGCTAGTGAGCTGAGATTCAAGCGCCACGAGCAGGTCCGTATTTTTACGGCAGTTCCGGATTAATTCCGTAACACTGCTTTTTGTGAGCCTCCTAATAGTTATTGCCTGGTTCTCGTATACAATGCATTCATCGCAGTAGTAGCGTAGGCCACTCCTCTTATCGATGGCATCACGAACCAGGCCAGAATAGCCAAGACCCTTTGCGTGATAAATTTTATCACATGTATGGCAGGGAATACTTTGCTGTCCAGCCGAGATAACTTTCTTGCAATTCTTTAATGAACAGAAAGCCATTTTCGCTGACCGCGGACCACTGTGCACTATAGCGGACAAAAAAATCGAAAGCGCTCAAGAACTTTTTAATGAGAGATCAAGCAGAGCGACAGAGCGGGAGCGAAACACCGAATAACTTTGATGTTAGGCACCACGAAACGATATAGAAACGAAAAGAGAGTGAGAGCGGGATTATGAACCGATTAACTCCGGTATAAAACACCTCTGAGAGATATGACCGTTGGAGTGCGTGCCGTTCCAACAGCGCTCAACGACGAAGAGAAAGACTGAAAAGAGGGGCAATAGAAAACAATAACAACAAACCAGCACCGAATTAAATTATGATAAAAACTTTTTGTTTACTAAACACAAGTTAATCACGATGCACTCGCGAAGCGAACGAAAAGTTGTTAGAAAACACTTAAAGGTGTAGAAACGTTAAAGAGATTTAAGTAAACCCCGGTGGTTTCAATAAGAAAAATGAAAATTCGGAGCGCAAAACAAAAACACAACCGTTCTCTGTGAAGTCGCACAAATATAGCCGCAAATGGGTTAAAAAATTTGATAATTTAAAGGAAGGAGATATTGTGCTGGTTATGGATGCAGATTTACCAAGAAACGTTTGGCCAAAGGGTATTATTGTAAAAACTTATCCTGCCAAAGATAACACTGTTCGAATTGTAGACGTTAAGATAAAAGGAAACATCTACAAGAGACCCATTGTTAAGTTAATTAGAGCTTAAGTATTACCAACTTAATAATGCAATACTCGGGAGGAGAATATTGAACATTTATATATTTTTAGTTCAAATTTAAATATTTAACAGACGATCAGTGTTGAAGAATACATTTATAATTTAGCTCCTTTTAAAATAAGAATGATGAACGACGTACAAATCTGAGACGCGCATTTTAAATTTGGTCTTTCGATCGGATATTAACTCTGCAACCTGAGGTAAGCCCTCAACACATAGTAACCTTTAACAAACTCTTCGTCAGGATCTCATTCGCATATAGTAAAATATGCTTTTTTCGATAACCTTATTATCGGATTTTCAAGCGAAATCTGTTTGGTATTTTTAAGCCAGAAAAACGGAAAGTAAATAATTTTTCAAAAAATCGAATTTTTTTTATACCCGTTACTCGTAGAGTAAAAGGGTATATTGTATTCGTGCAAAAGTATGTAACAGGTAGAAGGAAGCGTTTCCGACCCTATAAAGTATATATATTCTTGTTCAGGATCACTAACCGAGTCGATCTAGCCATGTCCGCTTGTCCGTCTGTCCGTCTGTCTGTCTGTCTGTCTGTCCGTATGAACGCTGAGATCTCGGAAACTATAAAAGCTAGAAGATTGGCATTTTGCATGTAGATTTTAGGAGTTCCTAAGCAGCACAAGTTTGTTTCAAAATGGTGCCACACCCCCTCTGACGCCCACAAGCCACAAGCTGTGGCCACAGTTTTGATGCTATTATGAAAATTTTAATTGATATGTATTTGTTTCGTCAATACCTATCGATTGGCCTAAGAAAAGTTTGCCACGCCCACTCTAACGCCCAAAAACCCATTAAAAGCGTGGCTAGCGCCTACATTTCCGCCTTTCATGGCCCGTGGTACCAATGTCTTGAGGTAGATGGCGCAATACAATAGCGCCATCTAACGGATGACTTTGGAACAGCTGGCCAAGGTGCTCAACAGAGTCAACGTTAATTCTCGATAAGGATTTCTATTAAAGGAAATTCCGATGGTTTTCATTTGTCAAGAACTATGCAAATCAAATCAAGTTGGCGGCGAAAAACATACAAGAAGGCATATTTATATTAAGTTGTTTAGCTGAGTAACGGGTATCTAATAGTCGAGGCACTCGACTATAGCGTTCTCTCTTGTTTTTAATGCAATTCTGGTGAAATATTATATTGTCGGTATCGATCATTGGAACGTGTGGTTTTCGAAAATGATAGTTTAGAAATTTCCATTTCGAAGACATGGAACTTGACGCTTAACCCTACATGTGGATCAAACCCAAAATTTGCGACAATAAAATATTATGCTTTGGATACCTCTAAATTTGTTGAAGATTACATATGACTTACATATATCCACAAATATTGAGAATAATGTTTATGTTAAATGTAAGCAATTAGATTTAAAAGGAGCTTCCATTACTTTCATTCTTATGAAGAGTACTCTTCTTTTGCAACACAAAATTGAAAGTAAATTTAAAATTAATTTAGATACTATGAACTATTCTATACTGAAATAGTTATATATCTTTAAGCAATGTAAAATTATATTAAGTAATAATAAATATACATATATTTTTTTAATAATAGTAGGGACGCAGCTCTCAAAGTTATTTGTATTCATTTACCTATATCGCTAGCTGTATAGCTTTTGCGCTGGTTTTGCTACATTTAGGTTTTGCCCAAAGATGCCTGACGATGAAACCAAAAATTTGTCTTAATTCGCTGGTCTCGAGTTGCAGCGAATCACATTCGAGAAACATATCCGCAACTTGCACCAAAAGTTAGTTCAACAGGAGAACTGGAAGATGCTAATATGTTAAACTACAGACTCCAAATCCTCGAATCACATTATCGCCAGCTGACTTAAGTGCAAACGCAAATTGAATCCATGGACAGCTCTGACGACGAGCGCGGTCGGTTTGAAGACGATTTCATTGTCAAGACTAGAGGCACGTTACTACAACGATGTCCTAATCTTCCTGGAGTGCATTTCAAATATCTTCAAGTTGCGAGGGGTATTCAAAAACTCATCGACAACGCATCTGCTATACGTGGCTCACTCTGCTTTTTAGAATCAGCTGAGTATGACTCCGATACAAAAAGCAAGTACGACGAAAAGCAGAGTTTCGATAAGCTCTCAACATGGGAGGAGTTCTGTAATATCCTCCCTCGACGCTGCCAGTTCCTTGCAAGCCAAGCAACAGGTCAACTGGTCCAGCCCAAGGCGCTACAACCTGGGAAGCGCTCTTCTTCATCCCAGACCTTAACACGGACTCCAACCTCGACCTCATGGTAAAAACAAAAAGTTGGTGTTAAAAAACATCGCTAACGTATCCTTGACGTTTGTGGAACTTCTGACGGTGTTTCTGGATGTTTAAGCCATTCTGAACTTAACTCCAATAGCACCAGCTTCCGATGATTTCAAAGACTTAAATGATTTAACTCCAGCCCATTTGCTAATTGGAACTGAGTTAACATCGTCACCTCAGGCGTTGCTGCATAACTCATCGGATCCTCCAGAAAAGGAAATGCGGTATCTGGACAGGTGGCAACGGGTGACCTACCTCAAACAAGAGATTTGGTCACTTTGGCATCGGTACTATGTTCACAACCTTCAACAACGCACCCAGGCTGTCGGACAACTAGTCACCGTCCACGAGAACAATATCCAAGCGCAACATTGCCTGTTAGCAAGAGTTGTGTCCGTAACTGAAGGACACGATGGAAAGGTTCGCGATGCCGAAATCAAGACAGTCAAAGGACTTTTTAAGAGACCTGTTCATAAGCTGGCGCGTCTTCCAGAATAAATATTTGAAACTTACACATTTCATTGCGTGGAGAATGTTGGAGGAGAACACCTTCGCCAGAGACAAATTATTAAATGAATCTCCCTAATCATTGTTTATACAACTAGCTAAAATCAACTTGTTAAAATAACTTTGTTAAAATCACAATATCTTTATCTTTGGTACTGTCTTTCCTTCACGACCTTCCAAAGTTTTAGAGGTTTTTTCCCTGTGAATTAAGGAAACGACTGAGCAAGACGCAAATAAAGGAGAAAAGTAAAACAAAAACCACGCTTATGCTAACTTGGGCAGCAGGAACTACACTTCGGCAAAACCTTTAGACAAACGAAGTTCCAAAAGGAGGAAATTTTAACTGGCCGAGAAAGCGGCCAACAAATACCTATGGTTTTTAAATAATTTGTAGTTTTTTTGTTTAAGTAGATTAATATTAAAACCTTTTGTTATTTTAATAAAATTAAGTCATTTTGTTAAACATATAACACAATTCATCACCCCGCATTTTAATTTTGTCAATATAGATTTTAGTTCAATAGTTATACACATTTATTTATGAAAATATCTGGTGGGTCGAATAAGCTGTGAGCCACTGTATGTTTTTATTGACCGTCTTTACAACTGTTGCCAATACCAGGGCGTTTTAAAAAGAAATTATAAATAATGAGAAAACAAGAAAATAAGCAAGAAGTCGAATTTTATCTGCTCCACAAACACAAAACTTTTCTGCGCCTGGATGTTTTCATTTCTCTTTCCCACGATACAAATTGGTAACTAATATCTATCTTTCTCTGTCTGTTCGCCCGCTCTAACCCGCAAGTACTATTATCTAAACAGTAACACCTTATCAATATAAGGTTATACATACGAGGTGTGTTCAAAAAGTAAGGTGACTTTGTATTTTCAAGAAAAACTATTAATTTATTTATCAATATTTATGTTGTCCCCTTCAAAGTAATCCCCCTCAGATACAATACACTTATGCCAACGGTTTTTCCAATCCTCAAAGCACTTCCCATAAGCACTTTTCGGTATAGCCTTGAGCTCTTGCAGCGATGCAGTCTTTATCTCTTCAATCGTTGCAAATCTCCGTCCTTTCATAGGTCTCTTCAGTTTTGGGAACAAGAAAAAGTCACATGGGGCCAAATCCGGTGAATATGGTGGCTGAGGCATTATTGTGGTGTTGTTTTTGGCCAAAAAATCTCTCACAAGCAAAGATGAGTGAGCAGGGGCATTATCGTGATGCAAAAGCCATGAATTGTTTTTCCACAATTCTGGACGTTTCTTTCGTATTGCTTCTCGCAAACGGCGCATAACTTCCAGATAATACTGTTTATTGACCTTACGACCATATGGTAAGAACTCCTGATGCACCACGCCATGGTAATCGAAGAAAACAGTGATCAAAACATTGACATTTGATCGAACTTGGCGTGCTTTTTTCGGTCTTGGCTCGCCTGGGCTCTTCCATTGGGACGATTGGGCTTTGGTTTCGATATCATAACCATATACCCATGATTCGTCACCAGTTATGACCCTTTTGAGTAAATCTGGGTCGTCGTTGACGTCATTCAACAGCTCTTGAGCGATGCTCATGCGACGGTTCTTTTGGTCAAAATTCAGCAATTTCGGAACAAACTTCGCTGACACACGACTCATACCCAAAACGTTTGAAAAAATTTCATGGCACGAGCCAAGCGATATACCGACATCTTCAGCAACTTCTCTGATAGTGATTCGACGATTTTCCAAAACAATTTTCGTCACTGCTTGAACGTTTTCATCAGTTGTTGACGTGCTTGGGCGTCCAGAGCGAGGCTGGTCATTGGCATCTTCCCGGCCATCTTGGAAGAGTTTGTACCACTTGTACACATTTTTTTACTCAGAACAGTTTCACCGTATGCCACTGTCAACATTTCAAGTGTTTCAGAGCACTTAATTTTATTTTTTACACAAAATTTGATGCAAATCCTTTGATCCATATTTTTCGATAGCAAAAAATCGCCGAGCTCGCAAAATAACTTGTAACTTTACGCCTCTCACAACCAAACAAAAGAGGATGTTCCATTGAAACTTGGTACAGATGTTAGGGAAGAGTGTACCAATATAACAAAACAAAAAAATCGATAATCGAAAATATGTTGCCCGCGAAATTTGAAAAGTCACCTTACTTTTTGAACACACCTCGTATATTGAGCTTACTTTATTTACTCAAATAAATGGTACATGAAGTTATCCGATATCATAAAATTTTCAGTACCCAAAAACAGACAAGGAAATATATATAATTAAATGTTTTCCTTTTAGTTTGTCTAAAAAATGGATTTTTTATTTAAAATAGAAAAATAAAAAAATAAAATAGAATAATAAATAGAATAGCCGGGTTCGATCCGTGCATGCTTAAGAAGGAACTGTTTTATTGAAGAAGGAGGTTATCCATTTACTTTTAATGAACAGTTTGTTATTTTTATTTATTATAATTACTATTATATCCTTATATTATGGTTTCATTTTTCGTGCACTTTCAGTTCGATACTAACATAGGTAAATTCAAAGTTAATAAATAGTTGGTTCAATATAATTTATTTGAAAATTTTTTTTACTGATTTTGTGTATTTACATTCTGTGGGTTTAAAATACGTATATACAATTATTATTTATTACTCCAGGTTGAAGTTTTAATATTTAGTAATTTTTCTGATGTTTTATTTTTATTTTTTTATATAAAGTCATGTTTTAATAATTTGCGGTCGAAAACACATAAGCTTGTGAGCTGCATTTCTATCTCAAAGAAAATTTGCCATTTTAATTTCCTTTCCTGTTGGTTTTGTAATTTAATTACATCCATTACTGTTATTTCTTGATTGACTGTTTCTATTACATGATTCAATTTATTTGCTTGGACGCTGACTGGTGCTAAATTGTTTGTATATATTTTTTAATTACTTAAATTACTTTTTGTATCTGTAATATGTGGTTAAAGTCTTTAGCTTAATCCAATAAATTTGTACATGTTTCTTATGTTTTTGTTATGCTTACTATTAAAAAGTGGTATTCGTATACTATAGTTATTTCTACAGTACCTGTCATAAATATTAATTAGCTATTCTTTGCCTGAATCAGGTTTACCTCGATGGTTATTCCACGATTTAAATTAGAACCGGGGCACCGTGGTACGTTCGGAATGAAAACATTCACAGGGACCTTCACATATCACTCGTCAGAGAAGAGATAGCACAAATCATAACAAAGTACTACAACAGGCTATCAGTACATCCAAATCATCTCGCGAGAACACTCACGCGAGTTTCCAGCAGTTCTCATAAAGAGAAGATCCAATAAGGAAAAAAAAAGCCAATAAAAAAAAAAAAAAAATTAAAAAGATTTATAATAAAGTGACCGCTTAGTTGGTCAAGAAAATTAATTTTACTGGAAATCATTGAAATAAAAAATATTTTTGATTGGCTATCAGTGCAATATATATATCATGGCAAATGCAAGACGAATCGGTAATTGGAAACGTTTAAATTCAAATGGCATGTCATAAGGAATCATTGTTAACCCTTGTACTTTCCTTTCAAAATCGTCGCTTCGTCACGTTTCGCTGTAATCCTCTCACTACTAATCTGGTAACGTTACAAAGTTTGGGTTGATTAATATCACATTCCATGACCCTTAAAATTGATGAGTTTATTGCGTTGACATCGTTATTTTTTTTCCTACCAATGTTGCTCCCTCCCTCAGTTGTTCTTTTGATTGTACAATATTACAAAAATCAGTGATATCAACCCGGTCAAATTATCAATTGGGACTCTGCCATTTCCGACATATGTGAAAATAAATCTGCTCATGGGTCGTTTTGCAATTGAACACGAACATCTGTGTTTTTTAACATGGCGGTTTAGATAAGACGATTTCAAACACGCGTTGTCGGAAATCACCTGCTAACAGAATTAGGGCACCACAAATTATTTGGCCATTTTTGCGGAGATCCTTTAATGTGCGATCCAATGAGCCATTGTGTATTCATTCCATATCATTAAAGCACCTCGTTGCAGAACTTTGTTACATGTAGGTGCTTCATTAGCCTGCACATTTAATGGCGGAAGCTGAAAAGCAAGCAATCTAACCCTGCGACTTGAGCAGCACATACCTGGCGTTTCATATTTAAACTTGAATGCGAGGCAAAGCCGGCAAATTGATTCCATTCTACCATTCTTATGTTAATTTTTAGCAGTGAGCTGTAATCGAGGGCAGAGTTATATACAAATGCTGTGCCTTGCAAATTCTCGCGAGCGTAAGGCCAAATTCGACTGTGCATGTCACGTTCGTCGACCAATAAATAAATATATCGGGGACTCGTTTGGTGACGGATTCATTTTTATTTAATTTTCAAAGCACAGCAAGTTCTGCTCGTCTCTATGCCGCAAATCGATTTGACCTCCAAGAACGCAGAGCTCAATTTAACCAATTCCTTTTTTGCTCCTGCCTCTGTTCTCATTCAGTTCGCGGAATGCGATCAGACCTCACTCAGTAGCAGACACTCAATTTCCGCTACTATGCTTCTTTCCCGCTAACTGCGCATTTACAATCCAAAGTTCCAAAATATGTCTCGCCTATGCGTCGCCTACTTTAAATGACGTTCTAGGAAATGACCTACACACTGATCTCCGACAAATACAATACTTTGTTTTAGCCTGAAGCACTGCAAAACAAGTGACAAACAATTTTTATAAAAAACAAGAAAGAAAGCTAACTTCGGGCGGAGCCGAAGTTGATATACCCTTGCAGAATATTCTGTAAATTATATTCTCCAAAACCCGATCGGTTATTCATATGATGCATTCTTAATACTCATAAAAAATCCCAACTTCCTAACTTTAAAAACACCAAAGTTATGTCATTTCCAATCGTTTATATGGCAGCTATATGATATAGTGTCCCGATCCGGCTCGTTCCGACTTATATACTACTTGCAATAGAAAGACAACTTTTGGGAAAGTTTC